TGTGTGTGTGTGTGTGTGTGTGTGTGTGTGTGTGTGTCTGTCATGGACCGGAAGTGAGGTCGGGCTCGGGTTCGGCTGCTGGATCCGGTTCTGACACTGCGGCTCTTGACAGCTGTGTTTGTTAGGAGCTTCCGGAAGTAAAAACACCATCCGCGAGGATTTTTAAAGATAACACACAACCATGAACAACTGATCTGTTACGAGCGATGAAGGCGTTAATCAATGGTATGTGCTTCTGTTGAAGCCATCAGCCCTTAATATCTTCACTTGTTTATTTTAAATAATCATGTTTTTTGAAGCACTTCTCTGTCATGAGCTTGTTTTAGCACCTAACTCAGAGTGTAATCGGCTGAAGGCAGTCAGAAGTTTCTTTAATAGTTGTTTGGATTGCAAAGCTTACTAAACAGGACTTTCAGAATCTGAAATCGGAATGGTTTTGGTCCGATTAATGTCCATCGTGTCAGGCAGTTTAGTAACAATCACGTTATACAGACTGGCATAAACAGATATCCCAGCCCTACTTGTGATCATGTTATCGAGCCACCGTAGAAATTCTGGCCTGTTTATCGAAGGTCTGTCGCTAATATTTTACTTCTGTCTTCCAGAGCAAATCCTGAGCAACATCAAGCAGGAGTACAAGCGCATGCAGAAGCGGAGACACCTGGAGAGCAGCTTCCAGCAGACAGACTCCTGCTGTTTCCCGCTGGACGCTCAGCCACACGCCTCCATCAGCAGCACAGGTACAGCACAGCTGCACAGCCGTCAAACCAGCTGAACCTCAGCGTGCAGCATGGCTCTGTCCCCTCGTCGAGTGCTGCGTGCTCACAGTGAAGCGAGTTCTTACCGCTCATGATCCGGTGTTTTCTGTGTCTCAGAACGGCTCAGTTCACGGTGAATATAGCATGCATCTAGCGTGTTACACTTTAACGTGCTCAACTAAACAGAGGGTTGAAGGGTTAAAGTTCAGGTGTAATACAGGACTTTTTTCTTTGGGGAGTTTGCACACTGAACATGGTTTGGCAAAAAATTAAAATCTCGATTTTTCCAGAACGTTTGATCGATTCCCGATTTTTCTTTACGATGTTTAACTAGTCAACTTGAAAATGTAACTACAGCATGATTCAAGTAACTTTTTCTTCTGAATTCTATTCCAAGTGCAGCACACATGAAGTTGTCAACATGATGTAAATGTTAAACAAATCACTTGTTAAATATCGTTGCAGAAAAGACGCATGAACTACAACTACGTCTTGTACAAACTTGTCTTATTATATTATGTGTTCAGAAATAATACGAGGAAAATGCTTTAAAAAAATCTCAAAAGTCAAGGTAATTCAAATTCTAAATGACTGAAGGCATAACACAAGTAGACTATTATTAATGTTAATTATAAATGTTAACGGTAATTAATATTCTGTAAAAACAACAACAGCTTTCAGTCTGTCACCATGATGCAAACATGAAATATCAGACATACAGTAGTAGTTCTTTACAGGTTTGCATTCGATTGCGCTGCTTTTCCGTTGTTTTTTCTATGTGAACATGGACGTGTTTGACTGTTGCGCTTGCATCTCTTGCAGTGTCTCATGCATGAAACTCCACTCTAAAAACACTGCGCTCAAGTTAAAAGAAGTTCACTCCCATCTTGCATGTTTTTTCTATTCCACTGCCCGCGTCACATCTAGTCAACACGAGTGCATTCTGTGTGAACGGCACCTAGCACTATGAGCGGTTAATCACGTGCGCCGACATGCAGTTGGATCGTTCTTTTCTCTTTACTGTTATCACCGGCATATTGTCAAAGTGTCTAATTCTAACCTTTGGTAATATTTCTATTCAAAATCGCGATTCCTCGATTTCTAAAAAATTAAATCATGGCAAAACACTAAATTCGAATTAATCGATAAAATCGGAAAAATCGCCCAGCCCTAGTTAGAGCGCTTCATTTTGAACTGTGCACCAGATAGATGAATGTAACTTTTAAATGCACAACATTTTGTTTCGAGGGGGCATGTGCCCCGACCCCCCCTAGAGTGACTGAGGTCCTCCACCACAGTTTCAGAAAATCCTGTGGGAAACACTGCAATATGTTCTGTATTCCAAACCATATATAAATGATACCTTCATCGAGCGTTTAGAAGGGAAAACACGGAAATACGATTGCCCTTCTATGTAGTTTCAGCCGTGAAACTTATAAGTTGATGTACTTACTGGATATGGTATGTTTGTGCGTAATTGGCAGCAAGCGGAGTGCAGCTGTAAATCAATTCTGAAGAGAGACTTGCAGTGCATCAGGAGAATTGTCGTAACACACTGCTGTTGTCATGAGACAGAGAGTTCAGTAGCTGTTACCAGTCTCAGCAGCAGACTCGTTCATTAGTGAGCGCTCTTTACGTCTCTTACAGGTGTGTCCTCCCCCTCCAGACGCGAGCAGCCGTTATTCACGCTGAAGCAGGTGGGCATGATCTGCGAGCGCCTGCTGAAGGAGCGCGAGGAGAAGGTGCGGGAAGAATACGACGAGATCTTGACCACCAAACTCGCAGGTATCGGCTGTAAAGAACTCTATTAAGGGGTTAGTTCACCCAAAAATTAAAATTAGCCCATAAATTACTCACCCTCAAGTCATCCTAGGTGTATATGACTTTCTTCTTTTTAAGACGAATCCAGTCGGAGTTATATAAAAAATTGTCTTTGATCTTTCAAGCTGTTTACTTCCACTCAGCGGGTGTTGCATGCTTCAGTCCAAAAGAAGTGAAATAAAAAGTGCCCATCCATAAAAAAAAGTGTCTCACACGGCTGCGGGGGGTGAACAAAGGCCTTCTGTAGCGAATCGATGTGTTTTTGTAAGAAAATTATCCATATTCAAAATGTAATAATCACTTTAATCTAGCTTGCGCTCACTGTTGTACACTGGAAGCAGCTCCGGGCGGATGTCGTATGAGTTCAGCTGAGCATGTGCCGCTCAGAAGTGAAGAACGCGGAAGCACAGCAGAGAGATCAAAACAAAACAACAGTCACTAATTAGAAGTACAAAACAAGGATTTGTAAAGAAGAATGTCGGAGGATTTCGATATAAGCCAAGAGGAGACTGGTTTTCTTTGCTCCTGTTAACAAACGTTGGTTTTCACGAGACTCACCAGTGCATGCGCAACGCTGAACTCATACGTGATCCTCCCGGAGCTGCTTCCGTGTACAACTGCTGGCGCAAGCTATATTAAAGTGATTATTACGTTTTGAATATGGATATTT